ACAAGAGTAGTGTTATGAACAAGGCTTACATTATGTTATATACGTGAACATCTAGTCGCGTAGTTCATCTAGACCTTGTTCCAAATATGCCAACTCAAGCATTTGTGAGAATCTTCAAACGTTTCACTGCTCGACGAGATGTACCAAGGCTTGTTTTATCGGGCAATGTTTCCGCTTTCAAGAGTGAAGAGCTCAAAAGGTTGTTAGCGGAGTATAGCATATCCTGGAAATTTATCGTGGCATTAGCACCCTGGTGGAGTGGATTCTTTGAAAGTCTCGTTAATTCAACAAAACGCTGTCTGAAAAAGAGTTTATTTATTTATTTATTCATTTATTTATTATTTAATCGCTTTCACCATGATTACAGTGCTAAAATAAGACTAGGGAAAAATACATTTGAACAAGTCATAAGAACGAGAGACAAAGGTGCAGGACAAACAACAGAGCGAGGCTCCAAATTAAGTGTGCCCTTAAAAAATACACAAATACTAACTATGTAAACAGTAAAACATTATAAGAAGTATAAAAATCCAATTTCCCAAAACGACAAGAACGAATCACTCCCGCGGCCGATAAAAAGTCTCTGTAGCAGCAGTTGCCAGCTAGTAGAAGATTACGCGACCTACTACATTTGCAGCAGATCGACTTCCGGGTGTTAAAGTTAGTGACGTCAGAGTTTGTGCTGAAAGCAGTCGAATAGCGATGGAATACGTGAGATTTAAACTGATTAAGAGAAGCAGGAGGCAACGCAAATGACAAAACCCCTAAATACGCTTTATCCTGTGGCAGTCGAATCACAAGTGCGGGAATGAGCGTCAGAGCAGAAACACTGATTTCCCTATTACGTTCATGGGAAATGCTCAACACGAGCATGTTGGTGAACATTAAGATTAAGTCAAAGAACAGCGAACTCTTTTTCTTTCATTTGTTATTTTATTTGTTTCGTTTGTTGATTGACCTGTGTCAATCAAGGCGGGGAGTGTGTAAAGAAATTATTGCGTCATTGTGGCGGGAAAACTCGTCACATGATCTGGGAACTGAACTTTGCACGAGGGTCTAGGGTCTGTATAGTCGTTCGGAGTCGTAGAGCTGATCAAGTGTGTAGATTAAGTGTAGATCATCGAAATTTTACGCGAATTGATGTCGATGAATTCCTCAAGTGTAGAACCGAGTAAAGAAATCGAAAATATGAACATGTGAAGAAATATACTTTCAAGGGAGTGAAGAATTAAAGCTAAATGTAACTGGTTGTATCACATATAATTTGTGATAAGTCGGTCCAATATGGCCTTTAGCAGGTAGTAACAATACGGATGCCGTGTTAGCAAACAAAAGCGAACAAATCTCCGGAGTGTTTAGCATTACCACCATAGTTTATCATGGATCTAACGTGGAGAAAAGGAACATTACTGCCTGTCAAGGAAAAATTTAATTCAAGAGCGGGTATTTTATCAGATAAAGTGTTCGCTTTCCAATAAAACCCTCCGCTTTTAACGAAGATGACGGTTTCAAGAAACATTACATCTTCATTCAAGGATGAATAGAAACTAAAACCCTTTTGAGCACTTTTGGTATATTCATTAAGCGAAGGTGGCAAAGCTTGGCCGGAGGCATTAAAAACAAATCCTGGCCACTTAGCCCGGAGTCCTGCGAAGATTAAACTTCCTTTTTGTTATGTAAACGACTTGTTAACACGATTGCTTATTTGGTGTCAGTTCTGTCAGTTTTTTAAGATCTAAAAGGTTAAATGGAAAACATCTCCGTTCCAGTTGCGACATGATTAATTTAAAAGTGGGAGATGAGTTTACACCCCTTGGATTTCTTATGGCAGTCGCTTACTCAGAGGGCATGTTGTGTCCCCGCAAACTTAGCCTATTCCTCATTTTAATGTACTCACCTGTGATCTACATGAAACTAAAATTAAATAGCATCTCATAGTTTCTAATTAGTGTTTTCATAATGCATAGATTTAACCAGGGCTAAAGGCGAAGCTTCCGTTCATAGACTTCTAATTAAGCAATAAACTTTAAACTTATTAACTTAAAGCCATGGCAAAGAAATATTCAAATCCCTACTTAACATTTGGAGCCTTTGATTTACCTTTTGAGTAAGGGTTTCCGTTTTCCCGTTGAAACACATCAATTCATATTCATACGGATGGCTTACATAACTGACAGGCTAATGCCAATTTGTGCATAATCTAATGTGACATGTGACATCCGCTTACATGTATTGTGTACAGGCGGGCCGGCGAGCGTACTCTATGTCTTAAACAAATTTTCTTGCTTTCATAGGTTTCCAATTTCTCTTCGCAACGGGGCTCCGTTGCGCGCGCGAGCTTCGCGCGGGCTTAAGTTCCGCTAAAATTTTTAACATTTTCCAAAAAACTTTCACATATAACTTTCAAAGTTTTCCTCAGGTTGGATTCCCGGTTCTCACAGCTGGGCCTGTTGTCGAGGTAGAAAAAATATCTGCACTCAGCTCGTTTCTTCTCACGGCAAAACACCAGAGGAGGAACATTAGCCAGTTTTATAAAGCTAACGCGCACTCTGATTGGTTATGCAAACCCTCGACTTCGTCTCGGGATTGCACAACTGTCTCGAATTCTCCCAATCCCTCTGGCGTGTTTATATCAGTCTATGTAAACGCGAAAAATGTTTTCTATTGCTTAAATAGACCCAAGTGTAATTTTTTAAAAAAGTTTGGTTGTAATCGTTGATAATGGGAATCATATTAAGTATACCTAATCGAGGATTAAACATCAAAGATGTGTTGCTATTTTAATCAGTTATGGATGTCTGTTGATCCTTCCGCATTGGAAATATAATCATATATTTTCTGTTAACGTTGCTTCAAGTTCTAACATGCCCGATAATTAATTAAGCTTATGTCCACAAACTATTTTTTAACAGCAAGGGGACCTACAAAACGGGTTCTCTGCAATAATTGAAGCCAGGCATATCTATACATCACTTCATTTTCTTGTTCACTTTCTCTTCTCAAAATTTCTATTAGAATTTTCTTAAACGTGTGATGAACTTAAATCATGCTACTGGGTCAGAAAGCAATTTACTGCAGGAAACAGTAAGAACTGCTAGTTGATGGTGGATAAAGATGCCGGTTTGTGAATCGAGAGCGATTACCAAGGTTAATTTGTTGTGACGAATAACAGGAAGATGAGAGATCGGACCGCGGGGGTTGATATGCAGACAGGGATCAAGGGAGTTATGTTTGACCTTGAATCCATTTTCTTTTTCGTGGTGCGACTACAGGTGTAATATATAGATTTAGCCAGGGCTAAAGGCGAAGCATCCGTTTATATACTTCTAAAAAAAGCAATAAACTGTAAACGTATTATCTTAAAGCCATGACAAAGAAATATTCAAATCCCCTCTTAACATCTCGAGCCTTTGATTTACCTTTGAGTAAGGGTTTCAGTTTTCCCGTTGAAACACATCTGAATGAATAAACTCATCTCCGGCCATCGAGCTCAAAGTCTTCTGTTATACCGAAACTAAACTGTAACTGCGTTACATGCAAAACTTTAACAGCCCCCTTTGTGGGGTGGGGTGGGGGGAATTTTAAAGGTTGCGGACCATTTAAGTTTCGAATTGATTGCCGTATTATATTATTGCATCATATATAGTGTGTTATTGCTTTTTAAATAGAAAACCAAAAACAATATTGTTGAAAGGACAGAACGGTAGATTGAAATGTTAATTTTAGGAGGAAAAACTAAAATTATTCTAAGAACATCATAATCCAACAGTTGATAGCTAGTTAACATTATAAAAGTTTAAATTTGTTTAAAAGCGTTTTTTTTCATTTGTGCGCCTTGTTTACATCATACCTAATCGAGGAAGAACTTTACAAGGCAAAATTGAGATTTTATTAGACACTGTACTAACATTAATAAAAAGAATTTTTCTGGTTCTTTATCACAGAAACAATCAACTTTTAATCGCCTTGGACTTGTTCTAAATGGTCCTTTTTTCTGCGTTGTTGCATTTACATCCAGTTAAAGGCATGTTCATAAATCATTAGACTTAGAACGAACAGAATGCCGTCCATGTTTCAAATTTAATTTTCAATAAAATTTTGAGAAATCTGTTTGACCTCAATTTAGTTGGAAAGCTTAGAAAAGTGATTAAATTTAATGAAAACGCTAGTAAAGGATACTTTCTCGTAAAATACACTCAATTTGAATCTTATATCTCCTCCTTACAACTTCCTCTACGAGAGGTCATAACAGTTTTTTGCACAGGGGCCCCAAGTCGTCTGAAAATGTTTAAGAAATTATAGGTTGGCATGAGATGGGTTTTCTTATGTCAAGTAACCGCTTTAATATAAACCTTCTATCGCGCTCAAAAATCTGCATCAAAAAACTGTTATTTTGTAAGTCAACTCAACTTGGTGTTGGCTCTTGTCTATCCGTTAAAGTGGGTAGCCATAGCCGTGTGTTTGCATTTTAGGCGAATCTGTGGAGATGTAAGACTACTTCAGTAGAATGACGCTGGAAGTTATACTCTCCACCGCGTTTGGTTTCGAAACTGACATTTAAAACGACAAATAAAGCCTGTTATTTAAAAAAGTGAAGGAGGTTTTCCTTACTCCTTGGATAATAGACATTTTAAGACGTTTTCTTTTTGAAATATATCTTTTAAGGATTCTGGCACTCCAAGCTACTTCGAAAAGGTCGCCTCACTGAGATCTTACAGCAAAGGAGAAAAACTGGGCCAACAGGAAGACAAGATTTGATGCATTTGATGCTGACAGCGAACAAGGATTCAACTGAAACTGACCAATGAAGAAATAATTGGCCAGTGTCAGATCTTTCTTTTCGCGGGTTACGAAACTTCGATCAAAACTTTGGCCTATATCACCCACCAGTTGGCCCTGAACCAGAATGTACAGGACAAATTAAGAGAGGAGATCAAGGAAGCAGTCAAGAGAAATCCTTGTACGACCTTTCTCATGACATTGATTATCTGGATTGTGTCATGAATGAGTCACTGCGACTAAATCCACCTTTGGCTCAGGTTAACCGTGAATGTGTCGACGATTACAAGTTTAACGACATTTATATCCCCGCAGGACTACAAGTCATCATTACAGTGTATTTTCTACATCGTGACCATGACGTCTGGCCCAACCCAGAAAAATTTGATCCCGAGAGATTTCGAAGCCCCGCCAAAGACGGTCGTCACCCATACCAATTCTTGCCATTCGGTTTAGGGCCAAGGTCCTGCATTGGGATGAGATTCGCTCTAATGGAGATCAAGATTGCTTTGGTGAAATTCTTGATGAAGTACAAGTTTGTACCTTCACCCGGGACACAGGTACCTTTGGAAATTCTTGCTGGTGTCACTCTGATCCCGAAATATGGAGTCCACGTGAGAATAGAAAGGGTTTAGAACTCTTTGCTTCGGCTCTCTTATTCTATTTTTGTGTTTGGTGTGGCTATCTCCGTTTGATTAGCTGCTACCATCGGTTTTCTAAACTTTGGGACCTGATGTTGGTAGCTGATATACTCGAACCAGGAAAAAACATTTTTTAAACTAGGATTAAAGAGTAACACCACCTGTTTGCGAGGAAAAAGAAGAAAATGGTTTGTTCTCGTAAAAATGTAAAATTAAGGTACAATTAAGTATAAATTTGAGACGAATAATTAAATAAGTTAAGTTACAAACGTTTCAATAAATTTTGTTATGTATTTCTTAAGTAAACTAAGCTCGTGTTAACAATAATGCCAATTGTGCATCCTTATATTTGCTATTAGTATATACACACTCAGTGATCTTGGTAATTCAAGCAATCTGATTGGTTAGCTATCTCGGACTATGACGTTATATTCACCGCGCTAGGCGGTGATTATAGAGCCGAACAAAATCGCTGTCGTGAACTGGGTGTTTTGCCAAAGTTTCAAAGTAAAACCCTTTTGAAAATACACGAATATTCAAGTGAATGACTTTGAAGGCAAGAAAAGACTTCATGGTGTTTAAACAGCGTGATTTATTGTGAAGTGGTTTACTTTAGCCGACTTTTTGTACGCTCGAAGCTATGTTTACCATTTCAGAGGAAAACGAGGTCGCTTTGTCACTGTTTTGTGATTTCGGGATTTTCTCGCAAGACCAATTTTGCCTATAAATAGAAGTTAATTTATGGAGAAGAGAGGAAGGCAAATATTTTCGAAAATTGTACGTGCCAGCAAGTTAACAAGGCAAAGAACTTTGGAGATAAACAACGCTCACCTTGATCGCAGCCGCTGTTGACAGCATTTGCAAGAAGCGACGAAGAAAACTTTCTCATTCACGGTGAGTTGACAGAAACAAATAAAGCTCTAGATACTTTTCTTCTCAGAATTGGGTAGTAATTTAAATTTTCGGCGTTTTCTTTTAAACCGTTGATGCTAAAGCTTGCAAAACTCGATACAAAAGGATTAAAACTATCATTTGCCATGTTTGAAGATACTGTAAAGATCTAACTTTTGCGCATCCACTGATTACGGCTTCGTGTTCACGCATGAATTTTCACCCGTCAATCAAACTAATCGTTTTTTAATGGTTTCCTTTCTGATTCTGTTGAGATCACTTCGTGTGAATATACTAAAACAATTATTCACCTCAGGCTCAGTTAGTATTGTTGAATAATCCCCTCGACTTCGTCTCGGGGATTATTCAACAATATTAACTTCGCCTTCGGCGAATAATTGTTAATAAATGGCACTTTATAAATTACCGTCATAAAAGACAAATTAAAATGACAACGTCGGGTAAGACAGATACGTCTCCTAAGTACTATTTCAAACGTTAGCAAGAAAAATCAAAAATGAACTTTTACGCTAACGAGTTGTTAAAAAGCATCACCAAAAGTTTGTCCATCCATTCTTCATTTTGTATTTGCTGTGGTAGTTATCCCTTCTATTCGTGTTTTGAGCGGTTGTTTTTCTCTCTTTGAAGTGTCATTTAACACTGATATTCCACAATTTGGGTCCCAGAAATGTGAAAGAGTTTTTTCCCATTAGAAGTAGCATTTTCAACCGAAGTAAATACAACTTGTTGGTGCCTCTCAGTATAGAGAAGAGTAAAGAAATTTTTGTAGTTCTGATCTGTTAACTGTCTAGTTTGCGATGTGCTGTCTAGCTAAGTGTAATTATTTTAAATCTTGTTTGCGGGATGAACATCAGCTTGTTGGTTTGTTGCTGAAAACGTAGCACTATTTGTGAACTGCCTAATTTCGGTTTTCATAAACTCGTTTGTGTTTTGCTCTGGATGAAGCAGGATGACAAATAGTTTTGGCGCGAAAACGCACAAAAGAATTCCATAAGCGGTGACGAGGGCAGTGGCACAGGCCACGATGGTTGTGTAAAAACCTTCCAGGGACGTGTCCACCGGGTAAAATGACACCCAGGAAATCAGGAGCACGTACATCGCCGACCCAATGTATCTCGTTTCGTTGAAGTTTTCTGGAAGTCGCCTGGCTTTAAAGGCGTAACCAGCGCATACTAGAGACAGCAAAATGAAATAGCTAAACATGGTTGCCCTAAGGACACTTCCGATAGCTGATCTGAATGGCATACAGGTGTAAAACACGTGTGTCTGTACTCGTATCTGCTGGTGCTCGTAAGGTGGATCAAGAGTTAGCCACAACACTGCCAGAATAACTTCAACCATGTTGAGTCCCAAGACCACAAGAAATTGACGTTTGCGATCCACGATGTATCGCTTGAACCAGTTTGGAATGATGTTGGTCTGAAAAGCGCGGACCAAACGGTTTGTCTTCAAGAAGAGGATGGAAACAAAGGTCGTATTAATAAAGTACCTTAGGGGATAAATTGTACAACATAACATCTTTGTGGGTTGAGCAAGATGGAGCAAGGTGAGAACAAAACACAACGCGATTGCGACAAGCAAAAGAAGGCTAAGTTCGCGATTGGATACCCTCACTAATGGTGTACTCTGGTTCTTTATAAAAACAAAGATGGCCATGCCTGTTGCAAGCAATCCAATAACCGTTAGGATCAAAAATATCACTGCACTAACATCTGACCACTTGATGTTGATAACAGGCAAAGGAAGGCATGCTGTACCGTCGCCGTTTGATTTATGTAGTTGTGGGCACTTGGTACAGTTGGGAGAGCTATGCTGGTTACTGATGGAGCCCAGAGAACACTTAATGCATTCCCAGCAGCAGGACACAGTGATCGTCTGCTTAGTTCCCGGAGGACAACGGTGACTGCACGTGGATATGGGAGACTCACTTTCTTCATTAGTCCATTTTATTTGTTTGTCGTTGATTGTGAGGTTGATACGAGTTCCCCCTGTCCATGTCCCCACCTTCACATTTTCATAATTCTCCGCCTGTTTCTGAAAGTTCACGATATCGTACGACGAAAAAGTGGGATCACCAGTTTCGGTGAACTGCACTTGCCCTGTTATTCCTTGAAAGCTCACTTTCCTGAGTTTCAGAAGCATGGCTTCGGGTGTGACGTTGGCATTTTGCTCAGGACAGTACTCACTCGTTAAAGGTCCGCCTCCGGGCTCTCTACACTTCAGTAAAGAGTCCAGCGCGTGTGCAAGGGCATAGACGGCGTCTGTCAGATAAGGAATGAACGCATTGTGCAGTTTGGCGAAGGCTCGATCGTCTATTTTGGCCGGGTTAAGGCAAGCACCTTCAGACATTGAGGAGCAGTTTAGATGGCTTGTCCAAAACTCCTTCCACCACGGATTGGCGCTTTCTCGGGTCTTATTTATTGTGATTCCCTTAAGATAATCCTCAAACCGATGATCTGTGAATAGATAAGGCCTTATTCCTATTGCTCCTTTTAGTATGACAGCATTTTTTTCCAAAACGTCTGGATTGATGGAAGCTAATGCTTCACTAATAAGAAATGTTCGTCCTTCAAGCCCCTGCGCAGTTGCTTCTTCCAGAAATCGTTTTGCAGGTTCATAGGTGCTCCATAAGACAACCACTTTAATGTTTTCAGCATCTTTGAGTTTTCTCACGATTGATGTTATTTTTCCTTTGTATCCCGAACGCGTGATGTACTCCGAAAACGCGATGCAGAATGTCTTTCGGTCATAAGCTTCTCGTTCCAACGCGCGTATGCCGTATCGACCGTAGGAATGGTCAACGGCTACGGCTGCAATATACGTCCATTGATAATACTCTATTATGTCAACCATGGCTTTAGCTTGTTGGCCATCGGGTGGAATGGTGCGAAAAAAGGAGTTAAAATACGGTGAGCTCAACTCTTCGCTGGTAGCGAAAGGACTTATAGTTGGAATGGCAGCCACATTCAGTAAACTTGAGACGAGAGTGGTGCTACTTGAATCGTCAGTGCCAATTACCGCAGAAATCGGAGCCGTTAGATTATCTATATTTATTGTAAGCTTCGACTTACAGTTATCCCTTTGTCCTTCCTGTAGTTCGTTCAGATAATTACTTTTCACAAAGTCATTGGCTTTTTTCATGGCGAGAACAGGTGTGTCGCAGTAGTCTCGAATGTCGAAGCCCAGTGTCACATTTGGTAGAAGCTCAGGATCCTTGTTAATACGCTCTATTGCAAAAGTTATAGCCTCGGTGTATCCAAGGCCGAAAGCGTAAAACTCACCGCATTTATCCTGAGCGGTTCTGACGTGAAGAGGAAGCAAGACTCCTAGAGTAACGTTGCCCGGCTGGTAGAATCGTTTTGGGTCGATAGAGGAAGCTGGCGAAGAGTGCATCAATAACCATAACAATAGGAAATGAAACTGAGACATTTTTTCCGCGTTAAGTCAGTTTACTTTTATGTGCATCAGATTAAGCTAGAAAAGAAAAGAAAACGAAAATCTTCATTAATGTATGTGCCCTTAATAAGTTATTTTTTGTTCCTCAGTTGGCGTCATTAAAAAGGATCATACCTTATAATAATTGGGTTCAGTTAAAGGGTCAATCTCATGAACGGCCCATGTGCTGGCCGAAGCTCAAAACTTGAAAAATTCTGCAGAATATTTGAAGATTGACCCGGCTAAAAAAAGATGGCGGCTGCAAGTGGCAGAGGCGGCCATTGCGGTAAACGAAGGAACTCGGGTCACAAGAAAAAACGATTTCTGACCTGAAACGGTGCGAAAGAGAGTGGTTTAAAAACCTTCAACGTGCTTTCCTCGAAAATAATATATTTCAGTCGTGGCTTACAGTGAAATTCGGGGCAGGATGTGAATGTTCTAGTGACAGCGATTTGGTGGCACGTTCGTTATCTGTTGAATATCGGAGAAGGTAAGTCTTGCTTTTCTTTGGCTGATGATTTAACCGTTAAAGATTATTTTTGACCATGAGTCATATTTATGACACTTGCACGAAGACGGGCAAAAGACGAAATTGAAGCCAAGGTGCGACGATGCTTATTATGTTTCGGTGATATGTTTCGTGTTGG